CGCTTCAAATGTACCAAGTCACCTAAATACATATTATTCTGCTGGTAAGAATAAATCATTCACGAAAAATTCCTATAGCGACCTTCTCGACGGAGACGCTGATATGTCAACTTAACCCTCCCTCCACTCTGCTTACATGTCATTACAATTAAATAAAGTTTTTAAAATTCTACAATGGAACATTAAGGGACTTATTAATAATTTTGATGAACTCCGTACACTCATAAGTGATTTTAATCCAACCTTTTTATCGCTTCAAGAAACCCATTGTAGAAGCTCTTTTAATCCTATTCCACCCAAATCATATACTGGATACTTCACGAATGCTGATCAAAACTCATATTCTAAACAAGGAGTAGGTGTTTTTATAAAATCAAGTATACCTCACAAACGCATAAATTTAAGCTTAAATATACAAGCCGTAGCAATACAAATAATGTTAAATATAAAATTTACAGTGCTTTCGCTCTATATTCCACCTTCGCAATCGTTTTCTCAGCAAGAACTCTACAGTTTATTCTCCGTACTTTCCCCCCCATTAATTATATGCGGCGATTTCAACAGCTGGAATACCATCTGGGGCTCAACAGTGAACAACACTCGCGGTACTGTTTTAGAAAAGGCCTTTTTTCAAAGCAACCTTTGCGTTTTAAATGATGGAAAACCAACGCACTTCTCAACTCATCATACTTTTTCACATATTGATTTAACATGTTGCTCTCCCTCACTTCTTCCTTTGGTGTCCTGGTCTATTGCTGATGATCTACATAATAGTGATCACTTTCCAATCATAATCGATCTTAAACTTTCAACGTCCTCTGCCACTTCAGCAAAACAGGCCAAATTCCTCCTAGATAAAGCGGATTGGATCAATTACTCCAAACAGGTGGAGTCATTTTTGAACTCAAAGCCATTTAAGGGAAACTGCAACCATGATGCTGCTATTATGTCCAAAGCGATTCGCACAGCTGCTCATCTTTCTATTCCTCAATCCAACACCTCTTTTAAACGAGCTAGGGTTCCTTGGTGGAACAACACGCTTTCGTTTTTGAGGAAAAATAAAATGGATCTATGGCACCGCTTTAAGAGATGTCCTGATCAGAATCACTTGTTATTATACAAAAAGGCCAATGCTCTATTCAGTAAGGAATTACGGAAATGAAAGGCACTTAGTTTCGAACTTTTCTCGAGACGAATTCACAGAAATACATCAATGAAAGTTGTCTGGAATAAAATCAACAGACTTAATGGGATTTCAAATTTGAACAAAATTTCTGCCATCTGCACTCCCAATGGAACTTTAACTGACGCAGATGAGATTTCTAATTACTTTGGAAAAGTGTGGTGCGAATACTCCTCTGACAGCAACTTCTCCAGTGCTTTCATCGAAAATAGAAGGACTCCAATATCTCTTTCAAATAATATCGATAGATGTGCCATGGAAAATTGCGTATCTACCTCAGAACTTGGAAGTAGCCTCTCCAATTTGAAGGGGAAGACACCTGGTCTAGACCGCATCTCATACTAAATGATCAGTGCTATGTCTAAGTCTAGTAAAAAGAAATTACTGGACCTATATAATACGGTATTTATGACTGGCCATATACCCTACATGTGGAAACTGGCAACAGTTGTTCCAATTCCAAAGTCAAAAAATGTCTCCATCGCATCAGATTATCGCCCAATTTCTCTTTTATCTTGCCTCTCTAAGGTTTTAGAGAAGATTATGGCATCTAGATTATCTTGGTTTCTTGAATCCAAGATCCTGATAACAAAGCAATAAGTTGGTTTCAAGCGGGGTAGAGGATGCATCGACGCTCTGTTACATATTGATTATTTCACAAGCAAAGCAATTTCCGAACGAAATCACGTAACAATTCTCTCAATTGATTTCGAAAAAGCATTTGAGAGAGTTGGTCTTCATGTTATCTTAAGACTCTTGAAATCATGGAATGTTGGACCCAAATTCTTCAACTACATCAAATCATTCATGTCGCATCGGCGGTTCAAAGTTAGAATCAACAATCATCTTTCTGATTCCTTTCCGCTAAAGAATGGCATTCCGCAAGGATCTCCTCTCTCTGTCACCCTTTTCCAGATCGCTTTCAACGAAATTAGCGAAATTCTTTGCCGTGTACCAATAGTGGAACATTGTCTCTACGCGGACGATGTATACATTTTTACAAAAGAAAAAGACAACACGAAAGCAATCAACATCCTCGAATCTATTGCATGTGAGATCTCCACATGGGCAAACTCGTCAGGAGCTAAAATTTCTATTCAAAAATAAAAAAAAATGCACATTTGTCGAAAACAAATGTGCGATGCAGGAAACCTACTGATGCATATTAACGACTTACCAGTACTAAATGTGCAGACGCTCCATGTTCTCGGGCTCACGTTTTCCAACAATTATCGCCGGAAAGCACATTGTCTTCGGTTAAAAAACTCCCTTTTAACAAGGGTAAATTTCATACAGTACGTTGCTTGGAGAAGCCATGCGCATATTAACACTATCGCTTATCTTACCAAAATGCTTGTGTTAAGCAAGATTGACTATGCTTTGATAATTTATGGCAATAGCTGCAAATCTAATATCAACATCCTTAAACCGGTCTATCACCAAGCCTTTAGAGCAAGTTGTTATGCTTTTCGGACGACGCCCATAAATAATATTATAATTGAAACTGGTCTCCCAACTTTAGAAAATAGACTGTATGAGTTAAAAGCTAAAATAGTCCCTAAGCTTCTTAATTCAAACAAATCCATTCTCGGTGATGACGTAAGAAAGATTATTATTGCGAAGAAAATTCCAACGTCACCATCTGCAATTGACCATTGTTGTGCATCGCAAAGGAATTAAACATTCCCTTAAAAATTTCCCGCTCTTTTGGTGTTAAACCTCCCTGGATTTTGAAAGACTGCTCTTTTGACATCTCACTGTCTATGCACAAGAAAGAAGATACTCCAAATTACGTCTTCAGGAATCTAATAGCTGAGAAAACCCAAGTATTGGACAATACTGGTTGGAATCTTTTGTACACAGACGGCTGAAAATCTCCTGGTCTGCCTCCTGCTTGTGCGGTGGTAGATGCTACAGGACGGGTTCTTCTCAACCAAATATTTCACGAAAGCACTTCAACTTTCATAACCGAAGCCAGAGCTATCCTTCACGCTGCCAACCTTGCCCATAAAAACAAACTCAAAACCGTCATTGTTACTGACAGTTTGTCTGTATTACAAGCTACCCGGAACCCTTCGACTTCGAGATGGAGCACCATCAACAAATTAAGGAATATAATTACTACACCCGACGGAAAAATTAAAATGTTATGGGTACCAAGTCACATCGGTTTACTGGGAAATGAGCAGGCTGATCGAGCGGCAAAGTATGCTGCTTCTGCTCCTCTAATTATGGATGATTTCATGGAAAAGTTGGATCTTCAAAGATATATTGGAAGAAAAGTTAAAGAGAAAATTGCAGAAAGAAATTTACAATACCATCATCAACACTACTCTTGCATTAACCCTCAATTAACTCCACCTCTATATCCAACAAATGTTGAGAAAACCAAGATCCAAACATTTTCGAGAATTCGCCTTGGTCATACAATTGCAACTCACCAATGGATCCTGAAGAAGTCTTCTTCCCCAATCTGCTGTTGTGGACAAACTCTTACTATAAAGCACATTCTCTGCGACTGCCTCAACTTTTCCTTGGCTAGAAGTATTGCATTTGGAACGATTAACCCTTTGAACATTCTACAATCGGCTTCAGAACAGAATAGCAATTCAATATTTTACTTTATTAATACTACTAAGCTTATTATCTAATATCCATTTATTTAAATTAGAGCCGATAGCCTGTGTTGCTAGTGCTCAATGTCTTTTTTTTAGTCTAAGAATTCAATTCATTAGTCTAAAATTAAAATAATAATAATAATAATAAAATAAAAATGTAACCTAATCATGAAATTCTTTATAAAAATAAGTACAGTCAAGAAGTATGATGATGCGTTTTAGGGAGTAACAGTGAAAATGTGATCAAAAGAAAGTTAAAAGCTTTTCGTTGTCCTTATCAACATGTTTTGACTTGAACTTGCTATGACTCCAAATTACAACATATATATTTGTTTATTTAGGCGGCTCTTTTCAAACTTCTACGATCCTAATACACAGACAATGATACCAGATAGTTAAAAAAGGATTGACTTATCTAGAAAAGTCATCTCTAATACGTCCGGCAAGTGCACACACATCGGTCATTTAGTAGTTTGAGTGGCCGTGTAAACAAGAATGGCATCGAGTTCGCGGATTCCAATCTAGAGCATACCCAGCCGTAGCTGCAGGCGCTAAAGGAATAACACTTACCTATTAAGCAATTATCCGCTAGATTGCCTTACCTGTACCTATTAAGCAAACATTCCTGTCCCTTCTTTCTTGTCACTGCTGAAAAAGCACTCACAGTATTACATGTATAGATGGCAACGCCAGGGCGATTGGCCAGGGGAAAAAATGTCCCGGCTGTAACTAAGTCATATAGTTATGAAGTCCCCACAGATGAAAGTCTTCACTTTTTTGATATTCATTGTCTTCAATCAATCAAAATTAATAGTAACACAAAACAATTTAAACCAAAATATATTGCAAGCCTTTTTCGTCTCTTTCCCTGTACGCTAAACAGAATGACCCGTCATTCAAAAATTGTAATATAGCAAAAATGTCAATTAAGGACTTATAACGTCAATAGTGGAGCGAGAAAACTTCATTGCTCAAGCACATAGGTGCGGCATCAAGAAGTTTGTTCCAATTTTCAATTAAACTAAATTGTTGATTAAATTACTGGCGGCTCGCTTGTTTCCATGCTGCAAAAACA